AGTATGTACTACACTACCTATCTACCTACCTATCTGTCTACCTACCTACCCAGGTGGTACCTACCTACCTGTGTGCTGTAGGTAGATATTATACTTATCTATAGTACTATACGGTTATGTAAAATCGCTTACCTCAGTAGGTTAGATGTTAGGTCAGTCTTCGCACTACACGTCTTGACACTTGGCACTAGGTAGGTTAGTCCATAATGGAATGATACGAAACCGTACTAGTACTCACACATTCCCACCTAATCTGCCCTTCGAACATGTAAAAAACCTTGAGCAAAACACTCGTATAGTTATCTAGATAGTTAGTTATCCGTACAGTCCGCACATGTAGGTTGACCGTCAAGTAATTAGCATCTGTGGCTTGCCGGTCACATTCCACCCGTGGCTTTCGGTAGTGAGGGAATCTGTACAGACTGCATCAACTATCGAGAGGGAAACACCGAAACCCCCCCGTCACTGACGACAAAACCTTTCTGACATGTCAGAAAGATGTGACGGACTTCACTCATCTTCGCATACAAATTCTACGTTTTGGCACATGGAAGCACGCCACTCCAACCGAATTAGTGTCAACTGCGTACTATGTATGTACTTACGGTTCCGTTCGGCGTCTAAGCGCTGGGCCTGGGCAGTGGACTGACTAGCCATTCTGGGCTACGCACCTTAATTGATTGAACGCCAAATTCCAATTCACGATTGTGGCACTGCCGGAATACCTACCTAACCTACCTAACTATCTACCTACGTAGTTAGCAGATACCTACCGACCGAGCCAGTCAGAACCCAGTTACGGAAGTGACACCACAGATTCCCAACACAAACAAGAGTCTGGCAAGTCAGGAAGGAACATTACATAGATACATAGAAATGATAAGAATTCGATGACGTAGCGTGTCTCAGTAAAACTCTCATCTCACGGGCGTTATGGTATGATTGTCGATGCCTATCAGAGGCGCATTCGAAATGCCGAGTGGGTTCTTTTTTTTTTTTTTTCTTTCTTTTTCACAATGATCAGCATAGCACAGTCATGAATTGAATTCCATATTTGTGAATGTAAATGAATAACAACCAAATGTCCCAGTGGCTTGGTACCTACAGTAGCAGTCACGTTATGCACTATGTTCCTCAATTCGTCTTTCCATTCGCTACAGATCGTACGAAGTAACTAACTAGGTATCTAGATAGTTACCCACCATGTAATTGAAGTCGCCAGTCTCGAGACTTTTCTCCCGCCTTCTCTTCACACCCCAACTTCGCTGATATAAGTAGGTAGTTATAATACAACCCCCCAAAAATCTTGAAATTTGATTTAGACCATCCGCTGGGCCGGACTCGGACTAGATTCAGGGGTTCCGAAAGTCACGCGAAACACCGGACTTACACATACCGGTACCTACTTATACCATACTTTTAGGCGCGGGGCTCTGTTCCCAACTCCCAGCCTCCAGCACGATCCGGACGTTAATCCATCATCGTCATCAAGGATCCCGAATGGTTAGTACCTAGGCATAAGGTAGTCCGTACCGGTAGTGTACGTGGCCACCACCTACGTCCGTATGTCTGTCTGTCTGTAAGCCCTATTTACAGATTCGTAGTTGTGCGACATTTACAGTAGGCTTTCACGTGGTGATGACACTCGGAAAAGTGTTATATTTAGGTGGGTAAGTCAGTCCGGTGGTGTATGTTGTATCTCACCGCCGTGTGGCATCCGGACTATGACCGGACCTCTTCAATAGGTAGGTACGGGATGTTTTCCGTAAAGGACGGCTAGTCACGGAAAACGGCATTTTACATTTCATATGTTACCCGCCGCCCGAACAGTCTGTAGGTAGGTATCGAGCGAGATGTTCCGCATACAGGCGCTGGCACGTGCCGTTATGCAATGCAGATGTGTTCGTTCTGTACATTATATGCATTGTGTACGTCGGTACCTACCTAAAGGATTCCTACCTCGTTAATGGGGCGAGTAAGAAGCACAGGCGCACTGTGTTTTCTACACAAAATTTTCATCTTTGTTGGAGGGCTTTCTCGATCACGTTACTTCTTACAGGTCTATAAGTACACCTACTACCTACCTATACAGTCCGTAAGAGCTACCTTCATATCGAGGTGGTCTTTCAACATGGAATTCCATACCTACTTACAGATTAGCGTATCTACATATCCCATATACGCCCGGTGTTTTCTCGTCAAGCTGTACTAAGGTACGGTCAAACACGCACCGTCGCAATGGCTTCCGTATGCACTGTCGATCTATCTAGGTTAGGTACATAAGTAGATCTGTAATTACATAGTAGAGGTAGGGAGCGGTAGGGATTTCCCACGTGCGCACGAAATTTCGACAAATCTTTCTCTCTCTTCTTTCCCCGTTATTACTGTTTTCGCTGTCCGGCCTTCCGGGTTTCATTATCTAGAGCGGTCCGGCACATCCGGCGTGCGCTCACCCCAAATCACACGTCAGAGAAGCGAGCCCCCATCATCAGCTGCGATACGACGCTGTAGATAGGACTTTCATGTAATTGGTCGTCCCCCCCCCCCAACATCCTTCGAGTTCTGCGGATTAGCAAGTACACGCTTACTCCATCGATGTTTACATTTTGCGTTCTTACTTACTCGCGACGATGCTAAATACGGACCTCCCCGCCGAAAAAGTTACATGGTTTACCGAAAGGATCGAAGCGCGAAAAGCGCCGCCCGCGCTGACAAGATCCTTGCAACTACTTACACTAATCCAGTAGAGGAGTCTGTTGTCGATACTTCTACTTTCAGGCCCTTGATTATCTAGATCATCGCCACATACAGACGTCCGGACAGCACTCAAGCCGAGGCCACCTTCAACGGTTCAGCCACCATCGTCCCAGGCATGTAGTTAATATTTATTAACCTAAGTAGTTATATCCACGGGACTACATCCACACGTACATGAGCGGAATGTCGCCCCCTAGATACGAAGCACACGCCTCACGGCCATGCCGTTTCCCACTCAGTAGTTAACTATTTGTCACCCATACCGAGAAATTTTAGCGACAAGTTATCGTCATGACGGGAAGGAAGAAAAACGGGCTACATGTCAATTACCTGATTACACCCTGTTATTTTCTAGAACTGTTCCATCATTGTCCCATGCTTTCACAGACTTTGCCATTAACTATCGTTATGACTTGTCCATGGTCAAATTACACTATTAAATACTACTAACCTAACTAAAATCAGATCGTCAGGGACCTCACATCAACACGGTTCGCCGGAAGGCCGAATAGCCAGTCCTTTTTTTTTTTTTTCTTCCATTCCTTCTTCTCGTCTTCCGTGGGCATCACGTACGAGCCTCACAAGGACCAGAGCGCCAAACTACCAGACAATGTGGACCTGAACACTAACCTGACAATAATGAGCACATCATGGCCAAACCAGGTTCTCGTGCACAGGCGCCTCTGTCTCACGCCTGCTTCCCTTTCAGTTCTGGGCACGTGGCTATTTCTACACCAAACAAGTTTCGAGCAGGGTATGTCACCTTGTATTGTGCAAGACGGCAACGAAATTGAGAGAGGCTGTCGTCGAATGAGTCTCCTAATTCATCGTCCGCGTCTCCGGATGATCCTTGGTATTTTCCTCCGTCGTCCTCTTCGCGTTCATCCCTCGCCATTTTTACCAACACTGTCATCAAAGAAGGCAATGACCTTATTTCTATCCACCATTTTTTCGGCTATTTAGTCCAGCCTTGTTGAAATAGTCCCGTCTGATTGCACGCACTCCTGGAAAAGCTATTCAGATATCATGCCGAGCGAGGTCTGGGGACCTTGCCGAAGAAAGTTTCGTAAAAACCCGCAACATCGACGTAGACTACGCTTGGCTGACGGCTGAATAAACGTTCCGAGGACTCCATTCTCTGTCCCTTCAAGACGTGCCATCCCTGGTGAGGCGGGATACGAGAGACAACTCCGTAGGCTGCTTCCTAGACTTCGGTGTCGGGTGCATACCCAAGCGCCGCGTCGAGTCGGGGTCCGACGTGTTCTTAGACCTGCGGTGTCCTTTGACGAGTTCTAGCCGTAGCAGATCAGTCCGAAGATTGCCAGGACCGGTTATAGAAGACAACCCCTATTCCGCACATCTCTGTTAGAACCGTATGGGGAAAGTGGCATGATGTTTTACTTGAACGATCCAATGACTGCCTACGTATACGGACTGTACCGCAAGCGTTGAACACGAAAGCTCAATGCGTTGCGCGCTACATCCAAGGGGCCTAAGGGGGGAGCAGCTATACGGGTTTAGTTTCTCTTGATCTCTATCCATGATAGGCGGTGATATGATGGCGATAACTAACCGAGCAAAACAACAAGATGAATGAAGTGATTGATGTTAGAATACCCCTCCTGGACTCAAGGTCGCGCGGTGTACGGAATCCGAAATACGGAATACGGACAGTGACTGAGCAGTGAGTCGAAGCCCACCATATATTTTCGAGTTCAGACCACAAATCCACTCTGCTCATGGGAGTCACGGCTATCGTGGCCACCAGCAGAGAGGCACGGCTCGTAGTGCGGTGGCGTTCATCTCTATTTTTTCTTGCCATGGTCGGACGCTTTATTGGATTCTACTTCACGAAGTCGCGATTTCGGAATAGACAATGGCTCGTCGCGAACATTCGCGCAAAGAAAAAACTTCAAGTAGGCTCTCGTCCCGGCGCCTGCCAAATGATGAAATAACTTGTGCAAGTCGCGGTTGTTGCCCAACTGAAGAAGAATCCTGCTCAAAGCCTTACTTGATTTGTAGGTTACCGAGTTTGTTGATCAATTACCTAGAGTCGTCCATGAAGAAGGAAAGAAGAAGGAAAGAAGATGGAAGTTCACCTAATCAACGCGCCTGCATGCACAAGGTAAATATTACTGGGCCTCTCCTTCTGACATTCCAGTGCAGTGACGATGCCAACTTACCACCAAGCCAGGAAGGCTCGGCACAATTGAGTTCTCTTGCCATGTCGAACAAACATGTCAGCGGGGATAGCTCAGTTGGGAGAGCGTCAGACTGAAGTCCAACTTCAATCATCAAATCTGAAGGTCGTGCGTTCAATCCGCACTCACCGCAACTCGTTCTTTTTTCCTTTTTTCCTTTTACTTTTTTAGTATGGAATTTTTTATCCGGTTTTTTTTTTGTTTTTTTTTTGTGGGCTCACTCCCGCGTCTAAAATCGTCCATGTACGGACCGCCAACCACTAACAACAACCGGCGGGGATAGCTCAGTTGGGAGAGCGTCAGACTGAAGTCCACTTCAATCAACAAATCTGAAGGTCGTGCGTTCAATCCGCACTCACCGCAATATTACTACTGTGACACCCACCGGGTGTCACAAGTTTTTGGCCGATCATTCCGTCCTTTTTGGGGACGGATCTCTTTTGGGAGGGAAGGTGACCGGGCCATGAGGCCCTTCACGGTGTGTTGCTGACTGATTTATTGTTTGGAGAAGTCAATCGTGAAATATTCTTTTGTCGGTCAGTTCATCTATATATACAGAGAGGTATTACCTAGGCTCTGGCGATCAGAATTCGATTGCTCAAGTTACCTTTTTGTAGCTGCCATCTGTCCCTCTTCCACGCCTCCATGGACGTTTTCAATAGGCGCCGTGTTGCGAGAGCACCAGACCGAGGCTTGACAGTTGTGGACGACTGGCTCAAGCAGCCGCCACTCCACATGTATCGTGAAAGCAAGGAAACAAACTCTGACATACATAGCATAGATGTCGTCAGCTCGACGTTTCTGAGAATAATTCGGAGAAACAATTTTCGTTCAATACCTTAAGACACATTCGCCGCGACGGATTATGGGAATTCTTGGCCTACTTAGTTCTGCTATCTACCCATCCATCATGAATGAGGGTTTGACCTAAAAAAAGATATCGAACATTTTGCATGCAAACAGTTATAATCGATGGAGCTCTGTCATTTCCGTACACGAAATCGTTTACAGGAACACCACAGTACCTTATCTGCATTACATTCTGCGAGGTAAATTAAGCCATGTCTCGCGTCGCCCCTTAATGTAATATCAATGATCAAGCAATGTATCAGACTATCCGCATGGATCAACATATCGTACGGAGACGGCCCTCATAAGGATGGAGGCCATCAAATCGCTAATCGCGGTCGAGAAGCATCAATAGCAAGCGATTTGATCACACACCACTGGTGTTAGGCATAGGCTGAATCGCCTTGATATCCTCATCACAACCAGAACCGTGCTCAGACACTCCCCATATGTGGATTTCACCAATCCATTCCATGAGTGCGCGGAAGCCGTATTCATTTGTACAGTTTACCTTTGTAAGCCTTGTCATGGTACATCCATTCCATTTTCCATCATTGAGGGTTGGTTATATATAGCATTTAGACAATGAAGTCAGGGCCAGCGCAAGTAAAGGTATAATGTCGAATTATTATTTTGATGTACGATTTTATGGTCTTGCCGTTTCGCGCCAGCTCCCCTTTGCAGCGCTTCTGCGCTTCTGAGTATAAGTTCCACCGATTGGAGAGCGCCAATAAACCAGCAGTCGCAGCCCACTGACGGCCACGTCCAAGGACTGGCCCTCTCGTTTGAAGTCAATGGTGAAGTAGGGGCACGTAATGTAGTTTCGGACAAACACATGGTTTTCCATCACGAAGCGATATTCCGGGCTGAAGCCTTTCAAGGAGAGCCAGTACGCGCAATCGGGCTGAATATCCCATCTCCATTGGGCTTACCAACTGTGTCATTATCCAGTATTGGTAGCACACACCACAGCGGGGTGTCTTTGGAGCAGCACAAAAGCTGAAGCATACGCTCGGTTCGCCATTTTTGGTCCGGAAACATCTCGGGAGAAAAGTAAGTTGGAAAGCATGGTCACTTCCTCCTCGCCGAGGCCTAGGGCCCTCATTTCTTTGTATTCGGCTGCCCAATCTCGAACCTTGGCATCGCTCTTCTTAGTCCAGACACCGAAGCTTTCGAGGCTACATGGCTTCTTACAGATTCTACGCAGTCTTCCCGTATAGAAATGACCAACTGCGCTTGGCGTAATGGATTTTGTGCTGTTAATAAGGAAAATCCTCCGGCTGTTTAATTCCGCCTTTGGAAGATCCAAGCGATGAGGCGCCATCGTAGTGCAAGCTGCGTTTAGCAAGTTGCTTGCCACGGCTATTTCCGAGTTTGGGATCACCAAGCTAGATTCAGATTGATATTCCCTGTCGATTGTTTTGTCCCACTTGCAGCGTATCTCCTGGACTCTTTTGTTAGCATCTGGGAAAAATCACGTATAATTACTGCCAATAAGGAGGACAAACTTGTTTCCTATTAATGATGAGTATCGCTAAGGCCGTCGTAAGCTGGCATTGATGTGATAATTGCCAGCTCTTGTTCTGGTGCGACACCGAGTGTCATTGTTGGCATCCATGCAGCTCGATGCAGATGCTCTGTTTGCGTGAGGATTCTTTACATCATCGAATTTATCTTGCTCTCTGATAGCACCGATTGGACCATGTTAGCGACGCCGGTATGCACGCCGCTGAGTCGGTGGACCTTTCATCCGGGATGTCTGCGGCATCGGATTTCTTATCCGTCGTCCGTGTATTGGCTCCATCTTTAATTCCGTTAGCCTCCTCGCGCGGTTGACTGTAGGGTACCTACCGTTAGCTTACGCGTCGCGATTGTGTGCGGTTAGGATGACCGGGAGGGTCGGTGGGTGGCAGGTCATCATCGCCGAATTGCGAGAGGGAAGAGCCACGTTTCGGACCATTGTATCGTCGGTCAATCGTGATGAGTTGTGTACTTCAGAGTTTGGGAACGTAGGTATCTGGTTAGCTACAGCCTAAATCAGTCGAGGTCATGCCTAATATGGCCGTCATAACCTGCTACGTAAAGCTTGGTATGACATTCCCAATTAACGGACAAGGCGTACAGACGTACCTATAAGCGTCGACTATCCGTGCTGGTGGAGACTGAGCTCTGGCGAGTTTGCGAATCTGACAATCTCAGATGGAATAGAGAAAAAGGCAAGGGAGGGAGAGGAAAAGGAAAAGGAAAAGGAAGAGGGGGAGGGGAGGCGCTGCAGAGAGCGGATGCACCTGCCAGGATGAGCATTTACATACTAGGTACCTGTCTCTTGAAGATTCCACTTGCCGAGTAGGGGACTCATATACCATCTTGAGGAACTCACGCCCTCATCCCTATCGTGACTTCCTAATTTTTTTCCTCGTATTCGGATCCCTTCCTTCGTAGATGGAGGTACATGTTAGGTGGTAACTAACGCGGGGCGGTTGTCGTGGATTGGACGGCGGTCTGCCCGGATTATGGTAATTCTGGACGAGTATCGTTGCTTAACTGTGTCTAAATGGCGCTCCAGGGGTTAAGTGAAGCCTCAGCATACACTGCAGAGCCCAAATGACTTCGGAGATAGTTACTAACGAAGAGTTCTTTAAAAATGCCGTCCGGAAAATTGACGAATTATGGCCCGTTTAAGCAACCTGCCTTGTACTCCAACTGGATGTTTTTGCAACCTTTGAGCTGCTTTCCAGGGCAACAAATGGCGATCTGAATATCCCCAGCGCCGTTGATGCAAGTGGTTACGGACTGGGCCGTGTCACTTTATTAGGGGGTTAACAAACATACGCCTGACGCAACTGACCGGCTTTGAAAACAGTCATCAATCTTACTCACCAACTGAATTCAGATCCGGGGAGCTATCCTCCGCGCCCGGGATATATTTGGGGACTCCGAGGCCGTTCGGGACGGTGAGAACCCAGGGGCACTGGAAATCCTCATCCACAGATTTTCGGGAGAGCTCGCACGTGACACCACCAACGTCGGGGAGGAAGATCGAAAGTAAAGTTTCTTTCTCACGTGCTTGGGGACCGGGAACGATGCTGTTCATCGATGATCCTCGAAGGCCGGTAATTGCGAGAATCTTCACATATCAATGCTCGGGCAATAGAAGGCGATGTGTCCAGGGTCCGTCCAGAACAGATACCAAGTTGATGTGAAGCAAGAAGCCTGAGCCGCAGGAACCAGCTCTAGGTAGGCTATTCCGTTGGCTACTAATTGGTAGCTCTCGAGACTCGAACAGGCCCCCACTATGATGGTGATATTCTCATTTGGCGGTTCGCCTGAGAACTTGGCCGCGGCGAGAGCTACGAGGGATGAAAGAGTGATGAGGTCACGCATGGTTTGAGCGGGTTGACATAAGTGTGTTCAAGACTAACTCAGGGGTGACTCTCGATAGGAGTTGAGGCTCAAGACGAAGCGTGGTTGATCTAGGGAGTCGTGAAAAAATGAACATCGGGGTCTTGGATCTTTTAGTATGAACACACAGGCCGATTGCCGGCTTCCTCGCTTCCAGCCCCGTTGTCGCCATCTACTCTCTTAGTAATGAATCTCCATGAATCCATGATCAGGGGCCAATGCTTCATGAAAGGTTAGTGTACAGCAACGTGGGTCTCGTACCGTAATACGGCAGAATTCGCTGGTGTCTGCCACGTAGTCGAGATACTGCTTCATAGGCTCATGCTCTGATCAGTAGATTATTTCGATGAAGTTACCGTTACTCCAGTCTAAAGTAACTTGAGACTTATAGTTCGGCATGCACCCAGCGCGCAACCCAGGCCAGAGGAGCATCGCTTACATTGCAGAAGCCCCTCAATGTACACGGGAGCTTCGGTACTGGCAGGAGTCAACTGATTTCCTCAAGAGGCGGACGAGCAAGACAGACTTCAAGATAGGCTAACCGGAAGAGAGAGTGCCGATTAGCCAGCGTACGCTTCTCTCACTCGCTATAACCAGCCACAATAGGATGTATTGGCTTCATGGGCATACCTACAGTGGCAAATATCGTCAGCTAGCCTCATAATTAAATGACGGCCAGGATCGAGATACTATACTGAATTGATCACCGCACCGAAGCCTTACACTGGTGTATTACTACAAATGTAGTCAGGGGTTGTCGTTATTCGTGTCAGAAATGGCGATACCTTCATAACACGCAAGTCCGATTGGGAAGTGTTGATCGGCCCAAGGAGCTCGTTAACATACTTCCCCATCCATCCCGTACTCGTACATGGCCGCGAG